CTCAAAATGTCCTTGGTACAGTTAGATCTTTAGTATTATTATCATACTTTTAAATATTCTGTACAGGGTTGGTGTAAATTTAGGAATAAATTTAAGTTTTAGGACTAAGGTGTGAATTGAGTTTAGGTTAGGTTTAGGGTTTCGTATGTCTTAGTAATGGTTAGGGTAAGGGGTCTGGCTTAGGCCATATGAATAGAAGTCAATGGAAAGTTGGAAAGTCAAATGGAAAATCCCACATGGATAGTGTGACGCAACATGCGTGTTTTTTTCTGTGTACATCCAAGGAAAATATCTCTTTTGGCTTACAAGATTAGGGGGACAGTTATAGATATAGTATCTCTCTCCAAATTTGTGAAACTGACAGGTCTTGGCTTTCAATCCAAAAATAATGGTGGTGGTCTGGATAACAATGCAGATTTAAGAGTTTCTTAATGATTTCTTGCAGCTGTGAAATAAACAAATTGACTTCTTGGCAGATGCCTGCACCCTCTGAGTGTTTTCTAGTTTCCCCCACGTACTCGATCAGACTGTGCATATGTTAACACTTTGAGATATATTAGTAATTTGAAATGTAAAGTGCATTATAAATGAAATGTTTCATTATTATTATGAACAGCATAGTTGCTTCAGGCCTCGTAGTCGAGAATACATTTTAATTCATTTTTAATTGAAATGCTTTTATTCCCTACGCCAACATGGCTTCACTGCCCTGATTGTCTCACTTTGTATCAACAAAATAAACATTTACATGGTCACCTTGAGCTGTGTCGAAGACAAATACATAAAGACATTGTACAGTCATTATACATAGAGATGATGCGGTGTTCTAGGCCTTGCTGCCATAAAAGGTACTGCCCTTATAGTACAAAAAACAAACAAAAGAAAGGGATCACAATAGTTGAGTGGGCGAAAAAAAAATCATATTTTATACTTTATCCTTAGAAGGTTAAAGTTTGAGACTGTAAAAACCACCACACACAGACAGCAGTGCAGGGAGAGAAGAAACGCGAGAGACAAGTGTGGCGGGTGCGCAGCTGTGTTGGTGTGGGTCTTTTTGACTTATTGCTTTGAGCAATACATCTCCTGGGAAACCCTTGTTAGTGCCGTGTCATATTTAAAAGAGTTTGGTTTGAATACTGAAAGACTGAGGCGGTAAAAATGTTGCTTTGGCGCGCCTGACTAATGGGCCTTTCACACAGGATGTGGTTTACACTGACTTGCCGCAGGATTGAGTGCACCACCATCTTGGCTTCAGGAGGGTCGCTTCAGTTAGCACAAATCACACACACTATACCTCATTCTCCTCCAAATGGCTCCAGATCTCCCACCTGATGAAAATGTCTCACAGTCTTGGTTGCAGTAGCTCTCCCTCTGCGCTTGAACTTTGCTTGAAGCAATGCCTTTATGCCCTAGCTCAGCATATGCATCCTTTAAGTAATGGGTTTTAGAGTGCAGAGTTGCGTGCGCCTCTTATTGTCTAAAAGGACCATATGTAGAGTCCTGGCAGATATTCGCAAACTCATCATCCTTGCTCTGTCTCATGAACTGCTGTTCCTGTCACTCTGAGCTCTGGGTTTGGTGTGAAAGGACTGTGCTATTAAGTAGGCTTCATTGGAAACAGTGATGTTTGTAGTTGCTCCAGGCAGCAGGCCCCCAATGGAAATCCCCAATGACCTCACCCAAAAGCTGACCAATCACTCTGGGATTTCCCAATGCAGGTTGTGGTGTCTAAAAGTGAACATAATATGTTTTGAGTTATTTGGTAAAAACAAAAGAAAATAGTTTTCACAGTTTTAAGTTAATGTACGTAATGATTAGAAACAGTTCAGTTGGAAATTATTAGTGCAGCGATTTGAGCACTCTCACATAGCACATAGAAAAATACATTCTCTTAGCTTGTTTATTGTGTAAACCTGTCAAAGTGTAACCACTTTTTATATATACATATATTATTCCTCATTTTTGATGGTTTTATTCTCAAGGCTCTACAGGAGGAGAGATTGTGGTTTGGATGCAGTACATGTCTCCAAACCAGTTCCCTGATCAGCTTCTCTGATTAGTTCATGTGCTTTGTTGAGCGGCAAAAGTTTAGATTTTCCAACTCCAACTTTTCAGGATTTGGACATGTTTGTGATGTCAATGTTTGAAGGCCCACAGCGTGTCATGCCTGATGACCAACAGGGCCTCTCAACATCCATTGATGCGATGTTTCCGCAGCTGGCTCTGAGATACTCCGATACGCTGATCCCTTCTCCCACATGTGTTGATTCCAACAAGGACGTCAATAAATATTCAACCAAACATTCTGGCCTCTGGTGGAGGAGTTCACATATCCTGTTCAGGGAAGAATGGAGAAGGGGCTTCAAAACGAAAATCAAACCGCCACGTTTTTTTTTTTTGTTTTGTTTTCTAATATTTGTTTGTAAAAGAAGAAAATGGGATCACTAAAAGTTACACTCACCAAACAGTAATCTTGTTACTGACTGATTCACAACGGGGCTCGAAAAATAATGCTTTCTGAAAGATGTGTCAGCTGCTTATAATTCTGCAACTTGAGTCATTTTCTTCATGCAGTGATGTAAAATACTAAAGCCAGAATCATGGAACCAGAAAATGACTAATTAAGTTAAACAGTCAGCATAATTAAACACTACCCACCTTTTACATCTAATTAAGCAATCTTGGACTTTTGTTTCTTTTTTTTCTTTTTTTTTTTAGGGTGAAGGCTTTCCTTTGTGTAGCAAAGAGGAAGAAAAAAAATCAGCTTCACTTTTTTGTGGCACTCATAACTTATTTATACTTTACTTCTACTGGAAACACAATATAAATGTGGAAATGTAGTTGCAGACTGAATCTATATTTGAAACATTATGACAACCTGATCATTTTTTCAACTTTGTTTATATTTAGACATTTCTTAGATAAAAAAAAAAAAGAGATGAAACAAATCTAAATGCCATGAGAATGTAAAAGCAGCATCTATGGGTTTTTTAACCATCTCTGACAAAAAAAAACCACAGTGAGAATCAACAATGAAAAAAAGTAGCGTACTGCCGTTTTTTGATTCGTGTTTGTGTCTGAAAGTTCATCTTATTTCCATTGAGGTAGAAAAGTAAAAAAAAAATGAACCATATGGACCCGGATCTAAACCAATGGTATGACATTAAAACTGGCTCCTCCTACTTTATACGCTTACATTTGACTGAATCACATCTAATAAGGTGACAGAATAAGAGCATTCTTCTGTTGGATAACCACAAAATGTTGTTTATAATCTATTTACTGCTGATGCTGAAAGATGGATGTAAGTTAATTTCAGATACAATCAAATTCTGTTATCACTTCCTGTCCCTATTTTCTTTTTGTAAATTTACTGATTTGCTTGATGGTTGTTCAGGTTGTAAGGATTATCCAATTATTCAAGAAAAAACTGTTAATGTTGGAGATCCTGAGAAGCTTGAATGTCCACGCAAGGCTGCTGGAAACATATATTGGATGAGGACCAATTTTGGAAATGCTCCTGTAATCTTCAACAGAATAATGATTGATCATCACATTAAGGTTTTATCAGAACCTGGAGAACTAATTTTACGGATCTTAAAAGCACACATAAATGATTCTGGATTATATATCTGTGTAAGAGAGTATGAAGGAAGCAAAACATATATGAGTCTCATATATCTGATAGTTAAAGGTAAGTTAATAGAAAATGTAATAAAATGTTGGTAAAATAATTAATTTTTGTATCAATTTGGTTATTTATTGTAAATATTTTCCAGGATTTTTTCCTAAAAACTGGTATTTTGTTTCCTGACACTAGAGCCTGCTGCCACCTCAGTCCCAACATCTGCTACATCCCATCTTCACTACTCTGTGACTCTTTACTGTTCTGCCCTTCAAAGCTCTCAAAATAAATCATGTCCTGAAGATGAAAGTTTGCTCTGTCTTAGAGCTGAATCCATTCAAAATCTTCCAGATTTGAATTACACAGACAGTGATCAGACAGACAGATTCAGATTTAACTCTGAAGGATGTTTGTACAGCTACTCCAAGGACTCCTCCTTGTCTGGGGCTCAGATGTACCACTGTGCTGTAATGAAGAATGATAAAGAAAAGTCTGGAGGAAAATCAAACCTTAATACTAGTGGTAATGTATGTTTAATAACATTGGAGTGTAATATTGAATTGTTTTTGCCTGGTGTTGATTACTTAAGGCTTCCTTATTTCTGTTTCATTTCACCAGAAATCAAAAGAGATTCAAGCAGTAACTATGTAGTTATCTGTCTCCTCATTGCAGCTCTGGCTATCTGTCTGGTTGTTATAGCCTGCCTTATATACTTAACCATAAAACTTAATAAAAGGTTAAATAGTTTTGGCAAAGGTAAGCTGTCAGATAATGATATCTCAAAATAAACGTATAAAACTTGAAACATACAACATACATGCAATAATGTGTTGGTTTATAATGTTTTTTTTGTTGTTTTCAGATTCAGCTACAGTTTGCCTACAAGCAAATGAATCGATCAATGCTGATCAAGAAAACCAGAAGGTAATAGTAAGAAATATGTCTGGATATTAAGATGTTTGAGTCTGTTTTCTTTTTGTGTGTGTGTGTGTGTACAGAATAATAAATTTTCTGTGTCCTCAGTCACATGAGGATTTGTTACTTTATTCAGCAGTTTCCACAAGAAGAAAAGCCAGTAGAAAAAGGACAGCGGGGACAGCATCAGTAGAGCAAGATGTCATTTACACAGAGGTCAACATTCTTGGGCTTTGAAAAGGCTAAAAGATGTGTTATTTAAAAACTAAGTTTGAGATGCACTTTATTTTTTTAGAAGATTAAACACATTTTTTAATCATGTCTTCATTATTTGTATTTCTCTAATTTGATACATGATATTTGATATTATTCGGCACTTACGTCCTTGTCCAACTGCAGCCTGCATTTTCCTTTAAAAAATATCAACCGTTTGGTTGAACAGGCTTTAATAGGGTTCAAAAGAAATGATACCTTCCATGTACATTAGCAAGTACTTATGATATTAAAACAACAAAAATTAAAGTATTTGTCAACTGTGTTTTCCTATCCGTTGATTTTACACAATCTATCTAATGTGGGAGAATTTTTCTACATGTTTTAAATTCTGAATGGCTCTTAGTTTTCAATCTTATTTGAGAAGCTTCTCTCACCAGCCTTTCACTTGGAAAACCCTACCTGCCAAAATTTTAAAAGTCTGTCAACTAATGAAGGGCTAAACTGAATTTTGATCTCTGTTTGTTTAGAAATCAGCTTTAAAGGTGGAGGTAAATGACTGATGGTTAACACTGCATTATAAAACAAGACTCAGCATTGCAGAATAAAACATACGTAAGTAAAAACAAACATTTGTTGATGAAAGAAATATATCAAACACATGAAAAGGCATATCATGATTCTTTCATACCCTTTCCTTACCCTAAAACCTGTTCTTATAAGATGCCCTGTTTTAGCATTTGGGCTAAAATTAAACTGATGGTTCAGTCATGTTTTCTGCTCTTTCTCACTATCTGCAGCTGGGAGGTCTATTTTCTAGAATTGGGTGACTCCTGGTAATTTTGTTACAAAGTAAATTTGAGCTTTGTTTAATTATTAAAAACATATATTTTTAGCATCATACTCCTTTTATAGCCAGTTAAAACCTGTTACATCCATGAATGTCAGTTTCTATAACATGTAACTTGTTTTACTTTTCTTTTATTAAAAACATTAAACATAATAATCACCTATAAATACTAAAGTATTGCAATTGAATATTTTCACTCATTCTACCATGCAAATTAGGAGATTAAAATACTTTTTTATAGATATGAGAAGTTTCCATAAATCAGTTAAATAATATTAAACATTTTATATTCTGTAAGTAAAAAAAAGAGAAGCTTCTCTGCCAAACTGACACAGACGCTGTTCAGACTTTTATCTTTAGTACCACACATTAAAACTCTAATTGTGAAAACAAAGCACCACAGAGACAGTGTCTCCCACTACTTTTCTCTCTGAATAGAATAGAATAGAAAAACGTTAATGTCTACCATACACAACGATGGCAGAAATTTGCCTTTGGCTCGCTTACATACAACAATGTAATAAAATAAATGAACATACAATTAATTGCAGACACCGTTGATTTATGTTATTCATCCAGGAAAAGGATGAATAACTTGCCATCAAAAGCTCTTTGATGGCAAACGTCAAAAAATTATTTCTGTACACATTTTTCTTGGCACAAGGAACTCTGTTTCTCTGCCATGATGGAAGGAGCTCGAAGTGACCAGAGAGTGGATGCTATCATCATGTGTGATCTTATGACCGACCTGATGCTCTGCTTTGCTGTAGTGCTGAAAAAAATTTATTTGTTGTTGGCCTGTAATCTTACCGCCCAGTTTAACAACTCTGCCAAGTTTGTCTTTGTTTCTGGCAGTTAAATGACCAAACCAAGAAACAATGTTAAATGTCAGTACACTCTGAATTAAAAACCGATAAACCCTCAACAGGATGTGATCACTGACTTTATAACCCCACAGCTGGCGCAGCAGGAAGAGCCTTTGCTGTGCTTTTCTGTTAACAGGAGTACCTCAAAGCTGGTTAGTCAAAGACTTTGCTATAAAAATTAACGCTTCTTGCACTTTTACAACGTACCTGAGCAATTTCTCATTTAATCGTCATGGCTGCAAAAAAATGTTGGTTAAGTCAGCCAAAACCTACAACAAAATCAGCACTAGAACAAACACTTAGGAAAAAAAGAAGAGCGATACAACAACAATGTCATTACTTATCAGTGTCTGAGAAGCTCAGGGGGATTTGCTTAAAACACAGCATAGTGGTAAATTTCGAACTAAACAAAAATCACAGACTAATTTGGTTCATTCCAAAGTTAGAACAACCAAACCAAAGCTCTCCGCCACTGTGCATACTATATAAAGTAAGTACTGATCAGACTCCGACATGGTAATCACAGAACACCTTAATAAACGCATGGTGAAATTTAAAAAGTGTGCACATCAGGATTCTGACCATCAATTAAGCAAAACACACCACTGATCCAGCAGAATCATGATTGGTCAGTGACCTGATTTGACTTAGAATGCACCTGAATAATGGGCTCAAAAAGAGCAGTGCTCCAAGGATGCTGTGGTGTGAGAAGCTAAACTTCAGAAAGAGTCCCAGAAAGGTGTCCAGGTGTCTTTTTCATAAAAAGAAAATAAACATAAGTTTGACTCTGATTTAAGGCTGTTTTAAGTTTGTGAAAACTAAACAAAGGAAGAAAATAGATATACTTTGAACAAAGTGAAAATAGAATTGCTTAAGAAGTACTATCGAAAAAAAAACCCGACAAAAAAATACCCCATGGTTGCTGTCATGCTGTAGTTAAAGAACAACCATTTGAGATGTTTTCTGATCAAAGTGAAATTGTATGATTCAGTATTTATCAATGTAGCCTTCTATAAGATCCTTATAAGCTTCTACAGCGTCTCGGACTGGAAGGAGGTTAGAAGAGTGGTGAGAACAGCAGAGAAGATCATTGAGGCTCCTCTTTCCTTCAAAAAAGTCATTTCATCCCAGTGCTGCGTTTCCCGAGCCCGTAATATCATAAATGACCCCTCACACCCCCACCATGGACTGTTCTCCCTGCTGCCCTCTGGGAAGAGACTTCAAACCGTCCGATACAGGTCCAACAGATTCCAGAACAGTTTCTTCCCCACTGCCATTGGACTACTGAATGTTATGTAAAATGGGTTATTTTATTGTATTTTATTATATTCATTATATTTTTTTATAAAAAAAAAATATTAAAACTGTAAATATACAGTCATATATTTGTATTACCGTTTTACTGGCAATAAATGAGTTAAAACTATTCTATCAGGTTCATTGAACAGATTTATTTACCATTGATCAGACGAAAGGCATTCTGCAACTCACATGAGTCACTTGCAGTCAGATGTCAACGTTCAATTCATTTATGACCACTGGCCAGACATTAACATCACATTTGGCAGTTCTTTCAAAAAGCTATAAACACAAGATCATAACACTTGTATTAAATTGCTTTATTTATAAGCTTTTTTCAAACCTTTGATTTTCTCCACTGGGTTTCCTCCACTGCTCTAGGCCAGAGCTCCACATGTCTCACCAACATCTTCTAGATTCTGGCTTTCACCTAGCAAAACACTAGCGGTCTACAGATAAATTTTTAGTTTGATTCACAACCAAAATGCAGATTTTGAATGTTCAGCAATGCCTGTACACTGTAGTTTAATTCTCGTGTGTCATGACAACTTTAAAGACAGTACAATTTTTGCACTTCAAACTAGTTTACCTAGTTGTGCATGATATTTCTATGTCCAAAGATTAGGACTTTTACATATTTGGTGACACAATGGCAACATTATAAAAGGTAATGTCTTTTAACTAGTGATGGGTCCAGCAACACTGATGCGTGGGTGCATGCGTGGAGAGCATAGAGCCAAACATTGTATTGGTGCGCGTGTTGCTTCAGGAGTTGTTTCTAACTAATTGACTCACTAAACTTGGTTTAAAAACGTATCTGTCAATATGATGCATCTGCTAAAAAAATATATCTCATCTTTTGCGGTTTATCATTAAAATTATCAATAATTTTGTAGCAGCCCAAAACAAATAGGAACGTTTCAGCTGTTGCGTTTTGTATTTTACTTTTCTCGTTTTGTCATTCTTTTCCACTCAGTTATCACTCAACTTATCTGAATTTAAGTTAATTTCAAATTAACTCTTACTTTATTCACTGTTTTTTTCTGTACTTATTGTTTTAAAAGTATGATTTAAAATCCTAGTCCACAAGCATCCTCATTCACATTTTCCCCTAGATTTTCACATTATATATTTACCTAATTTATTGGCTGCATCAAAAAAATCAAAGATATTTTCAGTTTAAACACCAACATGAAATAATACGATATAACCTACAATCACTTAAATTATATCATTGTACTAGGTTGTCAAATCAAGTGTCTTTAAATGTCTAGCTGGTGTCGGTATTCTGTGTGACAGTTTTAACGCAGTATCAATACAGTTTGGCAATGTGTCGAAACACTTCAAGATGCCTCATTAACCCATCACTACTTCTGACTCTTGGCTTACCTGAAGCGTCACTTTTTGCCTTCTTAAAAATGAAGTCCCACAAATTGCATTGTCTTTGCCGCTTCGCCATGATGCTGTTCAGCATGGCCCTCTGGGCCATCGTAATTTGGTCAGGCTACTTGTAAGCGTACAGCCTGCCAAATTTGAAAGGGCAATATTATTGCCATTACTGTTAATATTAATATAGTAGACATTTACATATTCAGTGATAAAATGTTATGGGGGAATGGTCATTTAAGAAGGAGGAAGATTTTTAAGATTTTTTTTAAAAAGGGGTTGCCATCCCCTCTCAACTCGAGTATTGAATATAATACCCACAATAAGAACTACAAGCAGTAATGCTGGCTGCCGTTTCCAGTCATCTGTTATTATGGGTTTAACTTTTTCCATCAGTCGCTCTCTTACTCCATTATGACTTTAATTGACTCTTGATCAAAGGATAATTTTACTGATGAGGGATTGATAAGACAGTTAAATATACCAGTTAAACCACTGAACTTTCAAATGGCGTCTGTGGAAAGCTCCTGTATTCTGTCACTGGCCTTCTAGGCTTATGTTTGAGTTTCTTTTAAATTTTTCAGTTCCACTTTGATTTATGTTATTCAGTTTTTTTGTCTTGCATTGGTTACTTTAACAATTTGTGTTATATTTATGCAATTTTGTATTTCTTGGCTTACTATCTGTTGCTCCCTTGTGCCTGTTTCCTTTCCCCTTGGCTCCCTTCTAATCACTTCTATCCACACCTGCTCCATATAAGTTTATTTGCCCATTTTCTGTTCTGTTGCTAATATATACACCACCTCTGCAGTTCCATATTGTTGGTTTCTTGTTGCTTTTTTGTTACTCGGCTCCCTGGTATCTCCTGTTTTCTTTCTTTTCTGTATTTTGATTTTTGGATTTTTGCCTCTGTTGCCTCTGGAATTTTCAATTAAATCAGCAAAACTAATCTCTGCCTCCTCATCTCTTAATTTGGGTCCTCAAAAACCTCCAGCAAACATTGACAATTTAGATTATTTCAGGAAGCCACAGGTAGTAACTCAGCTTTAAGGTATTGTTTTCCTATAGATTTAGGACATCCTTGACTAAGACTTCATAACCCCATACTGATTCTTTGGCTGGAATGCTAAGTAGCTGGTATCTCCCCTGAACTATCAACTGCCCTCATTCTGCCCAAACCAACAACTTTTTTTCCAGTAAAAAACATAAATACCATAATTTGGCTGAGGGTTTTAGCACAACTCAGGCCTTCCCACTGCCTGCACAACGACCATATTATTGCTAAATAGATCTCCTGCCAGACATGCGTCTTTCTGCCAGTCACCTGTACAGCCTTTCTAAACAGGAATGCAAAGTCATGCAGGCCTGATTTTCAGACTAATGAAAAAATTCTTAGTTGGTCATCCTCTACATGGCACATAATTCTACATTGACTTTAGAGGGATTTATGATGTCCCTATTAAGAAAAAATAGAGATTACCACTCATGTTCTCTGTATTGGCACTACATCTTGGAGAAACTGTGTTTACTTAGCATGACCTATGTAATTCTTATCACCTGGTCCACATTTGTGAGGCGGGTAATGAACAGCTTTCAAACTACCATAGGTCATTTTGTATAGGCAGTCGTGCCGTTTGGTGTAACAAGCAGTTATATGTTTTTAATCCCAATCATATTAAGGGGAATCTGTTCTTTAATTGATCCCCTTTGTCTTACATTCTGCCCCGTCTGAACCGAGTACTCAGATTGCCCAATTAGCTAGAGTGATTTCATTAACCACAGATCCTACCCTGTCCAAAAAGAGACAGCCCAGTGAATAAATCTGATCTAGGACAGTTTACTCAGTCCCTTTGTCCCACCGTGCCTGATGTGTAAAATGCAGCTCATCTATATGGCAGCTTTGATTGGCCAGACCCCCCTATGCAAGAACCCCCTAGCATGCCAGTCCCCGAACTAGAGCAAATAAGCGTTCCAGAGCTCATTAGCGGGCCAGTCCCCAAGCCAGAACCCATTAGTGAACCAGTCCTCCCTTCTCCTCAGTAGCCTTCCCCCAGTGTCCTAGCCACTCAGTCAGCTCCACCCATTGTCCTAGCTCCACCATCTGAGCCTATTAGCATCCCCACTTCTCCAAGGCCCCTTAGCCGGTGGCCCCCTCCGAGGCTCCTTTGCTGCAGTCGGCGGCCCCCACTCTGAGGTTCCTGCACCGCAGTCGGTGGCTGCTGCAGCGACGCCGTCCTCCAAGGCTCCAGCTGCAGACACAGGGTCCCCCAAGGCTGCAGAGACGTCGTCCTCACAGTCGTCCTCCAGAGACCCCCTTTCCTCGCTGGCCTCACTGCCGACTTCCTGAGACTCTTCCTCGTCTTCAGCCTCATGGCCAGCCTCCAGAGACTTTTGGTTTCCAAAACTACCCACCTTTGTTTTGCTTTTTGGACTCTATTTTTGGCTTTTGTTTCGTGAGCAAAAAGCAGCAGAAGATGCTGTGTTTACATGATGATAAAGGTTGACTGATTTAAAATGTACCACTGAGTGCATGGCAGCTTCTTTCTCTTCTTTCTCTAATTACATACTTCTCAATAATCTGCAGTATGGTGTTCACTTTTGCAATTTGAACATTTTAAAATCAAGCAGAAATGTAGTATTTTCTTTGATCTCCAATTTATTTTCTACACAATTCTAAATAAGGATATAATGATGTTTATTTGTCTTGGTGAAATGACTAGGGACAAACTATTCAAAAAACAATTCATAACTTATATGTATTAAATAACAAGGAGACAGGAGAACAGATTTTGATATAAATTGTAATCTTATTCAGATCAGAGAAGTTACAGAATTTACTGAATGGCAGCTGCCCACCCTCTCGGTTCACCTGTCAGGAAGTGGCCCCAATTAACAGTTAAAAAGGCATTTTATTTGTCTCCAGTCTGCCACATGATCACATTTTCCATCATACACGTTAGCAGATGAATAGACATAATGGCTGCAGCCTTATCAAAATATTCCAATTTGCTCTTAGTTGATGGACACCACACTGATGTCATTCTCAAATATTTGCCACGTAAAGAATGAAGATTATAACTGTATCAGAGGAAATGTCTCAAGCTGATAAACTATTGTGGAAAACATGAGTTCTGACATGCAACAGGCAGCCAATAACAAGGTGTAATAAACTCAAACATCATCAATGATAATAATCTTAACAGTATAATGGGGATCTTAGTTCCCTCATTCAATATGTGAGTCTAAACAACAAGCATGAAAAAAGCAAAACTGCACTAATGCTTGTGAGCCACTATGTCTGCTGAGTTTTGCTTAACATATGTTGCTCTGTAGACTTCTATTCACTGAATAAAATAGTTAATTTCAGCATTGTTATAACATAAGTACAAACAGGTACTTTTAAACTATCATAAAAAGTAAGTAAAAACATAAACGTTCCTTTTTTTTAAGATAAAATTGCTCCATAACAAAGGGTTAAATTAGCTCAAAATGTACTTATGAAAACGCAAACCAAAGATTAAACTAAATACATAAAGAAATAGGATATCATTTTACTTGTGAATAAACACTTTCATCCATATTTTTCTTAATACATCTAATGGTTGCTTTGCTTCCTGGAAACTGCAGTGCTGCGTAGTCCAGGTCATTTCTATCTTCATCCTATGCATAGAAAAAAAAAGAATAAAATTGAAGTCCCTAGAAACATCTTATGTCAATAAAAGACTGTTTTTGTTCTATAGGAGTACATACAATATGGTCTTCCTTTTGGCCAACATCATGTCCGTGGCTTGATTTTTTGCCTTAAACAAAATAACACATTTAATAAATTTTTCTATAAGATTGGAAGTAATCAGACTGAAATATTTCAAAAAAGTAAGAGGAAAACCTAAATTACTAAATGATAATTTAGCCACAAAAAGAATGTTTATTTTTTTATTTTTGTTTAGAGTCATATGGAACCGGCTGTTCCAACGTTTGCAGTTCCGAATTGTCCCGAGTGGTGCAGACTTTACACGTGTGAATAAAGTAAATGTGTTTTGTCAATTATCATAAGGTCGGGATTGTTGTGGCGGAAGGTTCGCAAGCAAGTTGGTTGTGGCTGGTATCTCGGAAGCATCTTGCTGACCAGTTAGCAACTAAGAGCTAGTAGGTTCCCGATGGGAAATTACATTGGGACCAAGTAGCCCTTAGCAATGACACTGTCAAGGATCGCTAAGGACATGCAAGATGAGGAGGGTTTTGTGTTGGAGGTCCTAGGATTAGCCTCCTTCGTCATAATTTTTTATTTAGAGGAGGAAAGCAGGGACACAGTTGTTGTGGAAGGGGACGCCAGGGCGGCAGAAGCTTTGTTTGGTGTAGAAGGCTTACAGCCGTACATGTTTGAGCCCTTGCCTCACAGCGCTGCCACTTCTGTTAGCTTTACGCCTGCTGAAGACACAGATGTCCATCCCCGTGAACACTGAGATATAAAGTAAATGATTCTTATTTCTACCGTTGCGTGTATTAGCTGTGACATATGAATCAAGATGCTATGACTGAAAAAATTTATTGACATATGACCGTTAATATGTGATTGGCCGAATTTAGGTGTACAAGCTGACATATGACACCTGGCCTGCATAAAACAAAAAAATAAAAAACACAGATTTTAAGATAGGATTTTTTTTTTAAATAGAATTTTCTAACTTTTGGGTCAATAAGGTCTGATAAAGAGTATATTTATATATATGTTTAAGCCAGAATGATTTGACATTTAAATATGACTTCCCTATGACTTAAAACAAAAGTACCCTGCTCATGAACAGTGAATCAATATACATGTTAAAAGGTTCCGAATTCTTAGAGAAGATTTACTGAACATTACAGAAAACACATGATTTCAGTGATTGCCTCAAAGTGTTGCTCAACAAAAATTTAGTTCAGGAGCTCCACCAGGCTGCATATACTGTAAAAACATATATACAAAATCGGTGTCGTGATTTCGGTTATTTTGCATTTTTATTTATTAGTACTTTGCTCAATTTCAATTTATTTTACTGGCATCTGATTTTTTTTTTTTCTGTCTTTAATGGAACGGTATGTACTGTAATCCCAAGCATAAAGTCATTAGGAATAATACGTCAAACAAATAGAAGACCTTTAGACTGAATTCAATAAATAAACCTCACCTTTAATCTGTTTCTTGGCTTTTTTAATGGATAGGTAGCATGCAATTGTAATATGTAAAATAACAGAAATAATCAAGCAAATTTTTAGAGTCACCAGTGTGATAAATGAAGAGTTTAAAGATTGATCTAGAAAAGAAACAAACAAAAAAAACTTTTTAAGAGATGTTTTAAATGAACATTTCAACTTGGGTAGAAAAATAAAAATCTTACCAACTCCAAGAGTAGTCCCATCACCAAATAATATTTCTCCACATGTGGCTAGGGCACAGTAGTATGTCCCAGTCTCAGAGATACTGACATTCTTAGAGAAGCTATAAACACATTTTCTATCATGTTTCTTCATACAAACATCCTGAGGGACTCCACTGGTGAATACAATTTCTGGGTAAGAATTACTTGATCTGGCTCTAAACCAGAACACCTGGAGCTCTCCTGGACAAGTCTTGGTCTGAGAGCCAGACAGAATTGAACACTCCAGAGTTTCAGTTTCTTCCACATTTACTGTATTTGCGGTTCTTGATCTCTGCACAATTGTGTAGTTTATTGTTTTCTTGATATTTCCTGTGTGGCACAAAGTAACATTAGAAACATGCAAAATAATACAACAGTGAAAAAATTTATTATTTTTGTTTCTAAGAGAGCAAGTAGACGTGAGACTAGCTTTTTTTCTTTTTGTGTACTATACAATACTCTTAATCTACACAGGAATAATTTTACCTCGGCTTTGCCTTAAAAAACAAACTACCCTTGCAAAGTATTGTTATATTTGTTGTCTTCAAAAATATTATGGTACTTAGAGTAAAGAGTTTTTCTACAAAAAAAATGTTTAAAAGAATATGTAAAAGGGATCATAAAAACATAGAAAATATGTATAACCTTCTTAATAACCAAAGCATTGCATTAATTGCTTTTAAGTGTTTCTAGGGGTGTTAAAATCAGATATTGGTACAATAATACATGGGTAAATTGTTTTTATACCTTTTGTTGTTGACAATGGTTCTCTGTTTTAGTAAGGCTTAATTAGTGTCACTTGATCAAGCCTTTTCTAACATTCTACTATACAAAATAAGTTAAAAAGGTTTGCATAACTTATGCTAATGTAGTATTGGGTCAATATTGGCTGGAATATTGGTATCATATCAGAAATGAAAAAGTTGCATTGGGACATCCCTGGTTGTTTCCACTGGTATTTTGATCATAAGAGTGCTGACAGATTTTGTAGCAGATTTAAATTAGGATTTTGCTTAAACCTCTTTAAACGGTTGATTTAAGTTTAAGTCAGAAGAAACACTATTAAACTATTAAATACTATTAAATGAAAAAAATAAAAATAAAAACAAACTTTCCATTCAAATATTCCAGGTATTTAGGACTAAACTGTTAATACAAGGTCGGAGTATAAAAAAAGTAGAAACATATATACCTCTCAGTGACAAATAGGTTCCACTCCACGTATTCTCAGTCCAATCAAGGACTGCACAGTGATACATTCCCTCATCTTCTTCAGTGGTCCTCAAAATTGTGAGATTACTGACTTTCTCTAAATACGTTATCTCCAGTCTTGAGGCTAAAACCCCTGGTCCATATTTAGGGGCTGTGTTTTTTCGCAGCATTGTGATCACCCTCAGAGTATCTCCAGTACTCTGCTTGTACCAGTGAATACTTTTAATTCCCAACCATTCTTTTGGTAAATCACATGTCAAGGTTGCAGGTTCACCAAGAGTTACTGTGATCACTGGAAC